AGGGATGTTTAACTTACGTCATTGAGTTTTTGGTTGTAGGGGTGTTGGTCTAAGGACATAGGCAGGCAAGGTTCTTTGGTTAGCAGTGATATCGTTTATTAGACCAACTGAGTAGTTGGGAAAAAGTTCTTAGCAAGCTTTTGGGTGTAGTCAGATTTCATCAGGTGTAGGGAGACTCTGCTGGTCTGAGACTCCAAGGAATGAGAGAAGCTAAAAGTGTGGTAGGATGGCAGTAAAAATGTAAATAGGTAGAGATAAGCAACACAAAAGGTAAAGCATGAGAGGACAGGGAGAAGAGAGTGTGATTTGTCTCATTAAACACACTGTCTTTCGCTGAAATTTCTTTAACTAGCAGAGTCCCGTATGCCCTGACTGTCCCTGTGCACTAGATACAAGGAGTTAGGAAGTGACTACCCAACCAGTATCTCAGTGGACGGCCTAACTCCATTCTATCCATTCTATGCTGTTAAAAAGCTGTCAAGTATGGCATACTCCAAGGGCAAGGATAAGAACAGCTTATATTCAAGTTCAAATATAAATACAGTATAAGAGAGAGAATTAAAAAAACACAGTTCTCTGTATTTTCCATTCAGAGATTTCATTTCTACTGCCTTTTAAATTACCCATGTGTTTACTACCAGAAACTGTATTTAAATTATTTAGGGTCCATGTCGGTGCTTGGAACACCATTAACCATCCCTCCCTAGCAACATGCCCCAAATGGAAAAGCATGCTACCTTCTCCAGGTAAAAAAAAGAAACATACAAACTTTCTTGTAAATTGTCTAGAAAGGGCTTCTGCTCTCCTCCTACCTGGGTAGTACCTGAGTTTCTTCACATGGGGTTAAATATCTTCAGGATTAGCAGAAAATAAGTAATGGTGTCGTGAAGACACCCAAGTCTCCTGACTGTACAAGAAAGAGCCACATAAATATAAAGAAATATACAGGTCTGTCAGTGTGAGTAGGGAGAAATGACCCTGGAATCCCTTCCATTTTACAGGGTTTCATTTACTTCAAATAGCAATGAAATTAAACAAACAACTTGGCACATGTCCCTGCAGAAGTTGTGAGATGAATTCAGTAAATAATGATGTAAGATTAAGTACTTCTGTTTTAATTAATGACTCCAATAACTGCTGCTAAATTTTTAGGGAAACATGAAAACACTGCTTATGTTCTTTTGAGAGAAAGAATAAATCAGAGTGCTGGAGTTAGAGTACAAAATTTAGTTTAACAGACTTTTCTGTACTATAAAAGGAGGAGAAGAGACAGTTCACTTGCAATTTTTTAGGAAGGTCGCATTTCCCTGATATAAAGTATATATATCCATTTTAGTGACATATTGTAAAAGCTTAGTGTTGCCAATGTGAGGGCACTAGCTATTTATTCTCTGGCACAGTTTGCAGAAAAGCAAGGGACTAATCGTGCATTTTTTTACAATATTGAGGAACTTCAGTTAATGATGTAATTGAAGATACAAGATGAAAATGCATGTAAATAAGTCTACATACACATATCTAATTAAACTGATTAAAAATAAGGGTGAAATACAGTGCTAAAATATACTGAACCATGTTCTTGTTTTGATCACAGTACACGTATTTCAAAGCCCCTGAAAGAAATGGGTGTAAGTTGATATGAAGCCAGAACTGATTCGGTATAAAGTGCATATTTTCAGAAATATACCGTACTACTTAATTTTAGCGTTTTTCAAACGAGTGAGAAATTTGTATCAATATGGCACAGTGGGTGATAGTTTCTATTTGAGCACATAGTTGTAGGATCCAGTTTTACACAGAACATCATCTTACACCCAGTACTGACATGAAGAGGCAATACTACTGGGGTGGTCTTGCTGGAACTTTTGTCCTTAGCCCAATTTCTTTCTGTCTAGCTGACTCTCTAGCAAGCTGCTCAATAACTCATATAAATGGGCTAAATCCTGCCATGCTAATTGCACCGTGCAATCCCTTATTTTATGAGTTGGTATCACCAACTTCACTTGGACTACTCATGAAATGAGGCACTGTTCATACAAGTGAGGATATCAGAATCAGGTCTAAAATGAATAATGGATAGCTCTAGTGTCATGGCAAGCATATATTCTCCCAGAAACACACTCTCTTTCTCAGTCAATTAAAATATATTAAAATGCCAACATGAAACACTGCTATGTGAATTACAGCAACTTTAGTGACTAATACATTCACTGCACAGTCAGTATTAGAACATATTGAAACATATTCAGTTGGTGTAAATCAGTGTGGCTTTCACAAAGTTGATTGGAATTCTAACAGTTTATGCCAGATGATGGTCTGGTTCCTAAATTTGAGACCCTTAGCATATGAATTTCACTAAGCAACACAAACAATTGTCCAATACACAAACATGGAATTGTTTAAAATTGTATTTCCTAAACAAATAATGGGATATGATTACATCTATAATTTATACATATTCTTTCTTAACAGTTTTTCTTTTGAAATATTCAAAAGATTTTTTAAAAATATATATCAATGTGGATACAGCTTAATAAACAGTCCATGAAGCAACAGACAGAAGAAAACTATTTCTCTGCATACACTCTCAAACATTCCATCTTAATTCGTTAATCTGTCAGCAATAAATTCTACCCACCCCCAAATCTTTTGTCAGTGTGCAGAAAGGAAGATTTTGGTGGGTTCTAGATTGCCAGTAACCATAAATTTTCACAGTTATTCCATTTCAGACAATAAATCTTTTTCAACCCTGAAAGTCAAACAAAGTTGTATCACCAGAGGTCCAAGGTCAATCTAAGGAGGACATTCCCCATTCTACTAAGCGCTTCTAGTTCATATCGCTGAACTCTGTTTTTCTACTAGCCTATATGGGTGCACATCAAGACAGCCATTTCAGAATCTCTTATTTCATACAAAGAAGAAAATATTGCATATCCCAATGATTTACTCTCCCAGTGGCTCCTTACTACTAAAACACCTGTTATTTTCTGCAAAACTATTTTCATTAATAACAGAGCCTTGTTGATTTTGTTACTCAAGGATATCTAAAGATAATAAAACAAACTCCTCTAACAGGAACCATGTTCACAATCTCTTCCTTAACATAAATCACTGGCTAAAATAAGCAATTTTGAAGGCTGCTTTCTCAGAGAAGAGGATGTTAAAATTTGTTGGATTAACGGTTAAAGTTGGCAGGATTTACTGTGAGATCCTACCAGAAATGAATGCTGTTGTGTCCTTTTGAATGACAACAATGTTATGAAATCAGCTCAAACAGTGAGGACAAACACAGGCACTTCAACTGTGACATACAAGTGTTAATAAGAATGATTTATTTTTTATTTTATTTTCTTTCTTTGCCCAGGATATATGAGAGAGGTCATGGTTACAAAGGCAATACCTCTCTCTTAAGGCATGGGTCAGGATCTGTGACTCCAAGGATTACTGTTACAAACATTTGTTTTCTCTACCTTAGCATTTTAGCAAAAGACAATACTGAGGAGGATGGAGTATGAAGTTAAATGTTAAATACTTTTTCTTGTCAGTTCCATCTTGTTAAATAAAATATAGTGTGAAATTTCTCCTCTTTCAACCACTACACAATCCACCTCTTCTTACAGCAAATCTCAGCACTGTTTTTCTTCTTACCATTTCATTCATCACATTTGGATAAATTAAGGCTACTTCTAATGGTGGGAATTTCTGAGAAATTTCCACTGCCTTTCAGGAAAGGAAGCCATACAGGCATTTAACCTGCAGCTGTGCCCTCTCCCCTGCTCCCTGTGCTTTCCTCAGACCAGGGATATTCTTGTCTGAGGAAGGCATAGGGCACAGTTGTTGCTCCACTCTTCCCATTCCCAGTGGGGACTGGAGCAGCAGGAAAAGACTCCCTGCATTTCCACAAATCAGGGATACCCTGGGGGGAGTGGGGAGAAGGTGGCTGAACTGCTGCCTCTCTAAGAAAGACTTCTAGCCATGTAAATTTCTCAAAAATTTCTCATTACTGGTGGAGGCACATTCTTCACAAGACAATTACTCCCTCTTCAATCTCTCAGTTCTAATCCTCAAAGGGAATTTACAAAATACTTTTCATGGACAGGCCTACAAACTTCTCTTCATAAATCTACTAGATATAAAAAATCATGGGCTAAATATACACATTAGATTTTTGGCACATTAGAACCTGCCTGCCATCCAAGAACCCCAGGTAACTTCTCTACATTTTACCAGCTACATTAAATTACCAGGTCAACATTTCCCCTTCTCCCCACCTCCCCCACCCTACCTGTCTTACACCTATTAACTCCCATCCCCTCTGATCTTCCCGGCCAATCATTTGCATCTTCATAGATCTGCATTTTGCATATTGGCTTATGGTTCTCTTCCACCCACACAAATAGCAACAAACTCTCTCTATTCCTGAAATACAGTCTTTGTGCTTGAAAGATTGTAAAGAACAATGTTTCTAATTATTTATTTGATCTCATAAAATATATCATGTTTACCCACAGAACCTTGTCTGCCTATGTCCTTAGATCAACACAGCTATAACCAACAACCTCAAAAATGTTTCAATGGTGATTCTCTCCATAGAAGCATAATGCCTGCATGTGGCCTAAGCTGCAAACTTCTTTAGGGTTAAGTACAGACAGTCAAAAAGTCTGAGGCTGAATTGATTCCATCTTTGCAGGTTAGTCTAAGCTGCACTGAACTGAGAAGCAAGTGAACAGACATTCACTTTTGATTCCAGAAATGCAGCCACATGCTCACAGTAGCCCAAGTCAGAAGCCAACAGGCACCAGAGCTTCATTTCGTGCTCAGCTAATGCAGGCTTCCTGGACCAAGGTTATCCCACCCACCCTGCCAGAGGTAGTTTGTGGGGGATGTACAAAGCATCCTGGGGTGCTGGGGAACTGTGAGTTAACTTGAATCTGGAAGGTACCTGGGACAGAAGTTTGATAACATAAATCAGTTAAGTCTGATTCTACAGCCATCCAGGTTTATCTTAAACCAGTTTCAGCTACTTTGAAAGCAGTTTATGTGCACTGAACTTCTGCTGTGTTACAGATTTGAACCGATTTCTGATCGCTTATATCAGTTGAGGTGTAATTTATGTCCCTAGCCCTGAAGATGGAAACTGTCCTCCACTCCTGATGAGCTGCCTGGGGAAAGCCCTAACTTGAACTGCCAAAATAAATATCTCCCTGAAGTTTTCTGCTGGTGAAGGATCAAGTACAGCAGAGATCAATAATGCCACGTTTGAGACACAGAGACTTGTTTTCCCCTAATGGAGAGTTTCCCTAAACAGGAGGAACTAATTAGCCATTTCCAACAGATTTAAGGCAACTTATGCAGCTAAAATTAACCTTAGTAGAACAGAGAAGTTGGCTCTTATATACCTTTTAAAATTACTGGAGATTATGCTTGTATTTAAATAATACTGATAGAATTTCAAAGCCCTATATCAGTGATTACTTAAAATAATACTCAGCTGATCAGACAAAATCTTGCTTTATTTTTGTCTATTTTAAGCAAGAAAAGATTTGTCAGATAGGGCAGTATTTACAAATCAAAGGAAGTTTGGGACTCTACTCTTCTCCTAAGCGCTATCCCGCCCGCCTAGGAAGACCATAAACTTGTGCTGATGCTGTAGTTCAGTGGTGTTCAAGTTTTTTGCCCAGCAGGCTGTATTGGCTATTCCCAGTCTGTCTGTGAGCCAGATCCAGCTGGTGTTCTCAATCTGGCACCTAGCCAGGCATGGCACGCACCAACTGGTCATGAACAGTGGGGAGGGAAGCAGGCAGACTTCAATACTGCCCCACAGGGGAAAGGAGCTTGACTTGGTCCTGCAGATGCGATGGCTCTGCAGGTTACATTTGGACTATGGGCTGGAGGTTGAGCACCCCAATCTAGTTTACAACATCATTAAATACTGCACACTGACTTCAAGAACTTGCCCACATTATTTTGGGGTTTAGATGGGAAAGCAATGAGCTGTCCTTTCCTCTCTGTAGACCTCTGGGCCTTACAACCCCTTCCCAATGATCCAACAGAAGGGAAATCATAACCTTATTTTTTACTAATACTTTTCAAAAAATAGAAGTTTCTCTTTTTCTTTCCTGAGTATATAAGGAAGAATGACAACTTCTCTTACCCAAAAGGATACATGAATTATCTACCAGTTGAACTGATCTACGTTTGTTGACATCTCAAAGTTCACCAAAAAATCTTCAGATATTTTAACAGTTTTCTTACATTCATGTGATTAGGTTTAAGAATTTATTTGACCTAAAAGTTCACAAGAAGATTAAATACTGTAGGAAGCAGGTGAGGAATTAAGCATCCAAAGCTGTTCAGTAACTTGAAAAAGGAATTGAATTCACTCACTACAAAGCCTTCAATTACAGCTTTGACCTTGCTGATGCCTTATAGAAGACTACTGACATCAATCTCATGGTCCAGATACTCTATGGAATGTTTGACAAACTTTTATTATACTTGAAAATTCTCCAAAGATAATCTTCTAGTCACATGTCACAGATGACAGACTACCAATTGAACTCAAGCCAGAGGTCTGCTTTCACCTTTGGTCTGATGATGTAATTACATCTTCAACCTGCCACAGTTGGGCTCACTGCCCGAATTAATGGATAGTTGTGCAATGATATCTTGCACTTCTTCCTTGAAAACTAAGGAATACAAAGATCCCACAATTTCCATTTTCAAGTCACTTCCATCTCTGCTCCCAGAAAAGGGGAAAATGCTTTTACCATTATCAAAAGTCTTCATTATATTGTGGGTGCCTGGAACACACACTTCCCTCAGTACCAAAAGCCTCAGCTGCTCCTCGCACATGCAAGTTGTACGGACAAGCTCCAGAGGAGATAGCATCCTCTATGAACTGCCGAAAAGTGCTACTATAGAAAGCACAAGCTATCTGTTTATGATACTTATATTTGAACTGGGAAAGTTATCATAACCATGAACTTATTTTTACGGAATAGTGGGCTCTTGGAATGAACAAGAGATAGCAAACAACTTATTTTTAAACATCCATGACTCTGCTCAAAAACGTTAATAATTTTGGCTTCCCTCCTATAGGTACCTCAGTACCAACTAATGATTTTGCTGTGAGACTTGTTAGAGGACAGCATCAGAGTTAGTGGACTTTGATGAGATCATGCCTATCAGAACTTTATTAAATTTGAATCATTAACCTGGGATAGGTGGTGGCACCTCCAGATGAATTCAGGCAAGCAAAGATACTTGGACTACAATTACACCCTCGTCCAAACTATAGGCAGAGTTGGACAGATAGGTCAGATGGTAAAATCAAGGGAATATTATATGTACTAAGCTCTTACTGGCAAGTGGAAAAGGATTTATATGGACCTCTGACATAGTTAGTGGCATATGGGAGAGCATATTTAACTCTTTATTTGCATGTACATTGTATTAGTGTATTGTATTAGTGTGTTTCCCCAAATGTATATTTCAGTTTCTTTTTCCCTAATGAAGATTTTCTTCTTTATAGCATCCAAGTATTTGCAAGTGAAAGGTCTTTTGCCTGATAATACATCACTTCAAGGTACCCTTTAATTTTTTCAGATCGCAAGGTAGCTGCTTTAATGATCTGTCAGGAAGGACCATAGCCCTTTTTCTGGCAACAGCGGTCTGGCAGAAAGTTTAACTCACTTATAGCTATTTCTGAACAATGTCCACAATATAGATGTGCTGTTAACACTCATACCTGAGGCACATTATAGAAGAACAGCACTACAAAACTACCAGAGAATAGCCTGTGTGAGGCTTCAGACAGAACTTTGAATCTGGGGAAGCTTTGAATGCTTTGGGGTCCGAAGCAGCACATCTGGGACGAAGCGCTGGCCTCGTTCGGCTTCCCGAAGTGGTTAGGAGCCACCTTTGAGATCCAGCCATAGGGTATAATGGGGAAAAAATAACATATCTGTAACTTTGTTGTTTTTTGTCCAATGTGGATGAAATTTTCAGGGGCGGTAGACTCTACAGAGAAGATGAAGCCTGCCAAGTTTCAAGAAGATCAGTGCCGGGATTTGGGGGGAATGGCACCGCAAATTCATGAAAGCAAGGTTCATGTCTCATCTAGGTATTACAACATAGCGGGGTGAAAACTGCAGCGGTGGTAGCTCTTGCTGAGACCACAAAGCCTGCCAAGTTTCAAGAAAATTGGTGCAGGGGTTTGGGTGGAACTGCCCCGCAAGCTGCTGACAAGCAAAACTCGGTTTTGCATGGTTGCTTGTCGGACTGACTGTCTCCAGCTTGGGGCGTGGGAGACACTACTGCAGGCCTGGCTGCTAAGCTACTGTGTTACCAGTTACCAATCAATCAATCATGTTTCACTCAGGGACCAGGGACTCAGTGACCAGTTCAATACATAGGACTTAGCTACTACATAATGACTTAATGAGCATCAATTAGCACCTCCAGGCTAAGGAGAGGAAAAAATCAATACAGACAATCAACTGCCCCAAGACAGACACAGACTTGGCACGAGTTTTGCCTGTCAGCAACTAGGGGTGTAGAGCCCCAGACCTCGCCCTGCACCAATCTCCTCAACAGCTGGCAGGCATCACAGCAGGGGCCACCATCCCTGCAGCTCTCACCCTGCTGAACCTTAACACACGCAGTGTCACCCATGAAACTAATTTTGCTTGTCCACAGCTTGAGGTGCAGTTCCCCCCAAACCCCTGCACCTATCTCCTTGAAACTTGGCAGGCTTCGTAGCCTCAGTAAGAGCTACCACCCCTGCAGTTTTCACCCCCCTGTGACACACAGCCGTGGCATGAGTTTGGCTTTCAAGAATTTGGGGTACAGTTTCCCCCAAATCCCTGCACTGATATTCTTGAAACTTGGCAGGTTTCATGCACTCAGCAGAGGCTACCATCCCTACAAGTTTCATCCAAATCGGACAAGAAACAACAAAGTTATAGACATTTCATTGATTCCCCATTATATCCTATGACCAGATCTCCGAGGTGGCTCCAGTTGGACCGAGGCAGAACCCCAAGCTCCGGATCAGATTGCGGCTACCCGAAGTGGCCGGATCTGAAGCCAGATCAGATCGCTGCCGACTCACAGAGGCCTACCAGAGAATGCTCTGCTGATTGGATAATTCAATTAAAAGCTGTACCCAAAACTTACTCAAAATTGCTAAGTATTTCAGTACCAGATTTCTACTGAAATGAACACAGTTTACTACAGAACACAGCTCCACATTATATGGAGGACAAAGGGCCTCAGCTACCAGACAATTCACCTGAAATAAGGAATGCTGAAATTTTTGCATCCACATTCAAATGACATTTCCAATAATATAGTCAGACTTACTTAGAATCTGCATGAACACTTGCTTAAGTGGGCACTGGATCAGGTCTTACAAACCAATGGACCTCAAAGATGGATAAATTAAATCTGCAGTGAGGATGTGTGAGGTCATTTCTCTCCCTGCATTATTTTCCTCTATAATCTTCCTTTTCTTAATACAGGGATAC